CGATAGAGTGAAGCCACGGAAGTCGAAGCGCGAAGTGGCGAGGGTTCACTGTAATTCTGATAGATTTTCTTGAAGGACACGGGGCAACCACAGGAGTGCATTAGGAAGAACATTGGGAAAGTTGCATGGCGAGAAAAGGTCCAGAAGTCACAATGAGGATTTTTTTCCCCCATCATGACAATGCCTCTGTTCATTCTCAAGAATAGCCAGGGCTGTCCTACAAGAATTCCATGGGAAACCCTTACCCCAGTCCCTTATAGTCCTGATCTTGCCCCGCTGGGGCTTCTTTTTGTTTCCCAAACTCAACATATAAGAGGAACAGATTTGAGTCCTGCAATGATGCCAACACTACCATTGTGATGTGGTGTCAATCAAAGAGCACAAATTTGGGGGGGAAAAGGTTAGTGAGATGGAAAAACTAGACTAGGATATGTTAAAAAAAAATCAACCTCACATTCTGATATTTTTGTTTAATAAAGGTGTCCATGACTTGTAGCAATATTTTTTTACTTACCCTCATATAGTAGGCTCTTCAAACACAAATGTTTCAATCCAAACAAGCCAGGCACAGAAGGTAGGAGGAAAAAAGCTTGAGCAACTCATTACTTCATAACAGAAAACCAGTGATGGGAAATGAGAACACAGAAGTAAATGAAGTGCGGAGAAGTAATTGAGAAGGAAAAGAACCAAAGCACCCGATGACTTAGGCGGCACAAAGGCTATTAGCCGTACAGCCCACACAGTGCTCCTCTCGAGCCCTTAGGGTTTTCCTCCTCTGCACTATGAAACAACGATATCGAATCAGTCATGTTTTATGAGACCTCTTCTCAACCATATGAAATGTTGAAAATGAGACTCGAAGGAAAGTTACTTATATAAAAGAGGGAAAATGAGAAGAAATGCTGCATACCGTAACTTCAGGCCAAAGACCTGGTCAGTGCTTCCAAGAAATAATCTATCTAGAAATACAGCTTTTCCTAAAAAGCGTTTTTTGTTTAAAGATGCTTTTATCCTGTTACTTCCCATGATGCCAAATCTACAGTTCAGAGTATGTAAAAATCGCTCACCAGCTGTAAAGGCTTTACCATGAGATTAGGTTTCTTATAGATCTTCTGTTCCGGTTCTTTAAGGTTTTTTGAAGGACTATTCCAAGCGGTCTCCTTGACAGTTGCAATAGACAGTGCATTTCTAGAGGGATTTGCTTTGACTTCTATTTTCTTATCTGGTTGAACTAAATATGAATTCCTGACTGATGAAACAGCTCCATCTGAAATGGCCAAGAAAGTAGCCTATGCATATTTGTCAAAATAATTTGTACAACTGTTACTAAGCACTTTTTTTACATGCCAGGAACGGATAAATACCGATAAATAAAGAGATATGAACATATCCTCACAGACCTTTCAGTGTAGAGAGAGGTAAAGAATCTCCAGATGGGAATAAATCTTAAATGATCTGTGTGTGAGAGGGTAGGGTGTTATGGTAAAGTCAGACTTCTATAAATGTGGTGGAAGACTTTATCTTTCACCATTCTGATCTGAATTTCCTTCATGGTCAATTTAAGCCCTGAACATTTATACTGCTGCAATATTCCTCTTCTCTTAATGTGCAATGTATATGACTACTTAATATCTCATAATGCAAAGCTCTAATTCTTAGGGAATTTCCAGATCAATCACATAGGGTGTTCCATTTACAAATGAATGATGACTGTAAGACTGGCACTTTAAAACAGCCTCCAGATAGACCTAACACCCACCAGGACACACTGATGGACATCTAAATGTCCACCCATAGATAGCAGCACGGGCAAGTGAATCTTAATATGCAGTTAAAAAACATGAAATGAAGCTATCCAAAGGGGCTTGAAAAGAGTTCATGGGAAAATGGAATTAAAAGATAATGGAATTTTTCCATGAAGTTTGTGAAGTCCCCTGTATACACTGGCATGTAAAAACCACCAAAATACATGAAGAATAAGATGCATGACTTACACAGTATTTATATAACACTGGTTTGTGTTAGGAAAATTATACAGATAATTAGTAATTACATAGACAAGTTCCAGAAAGACATACTCTTAAAAACTACTAATCTCTGTATTATTAAAAATTTTAACAATTATATAGTGTTATGTATATTCCTTTTCTAATTTTAAATTTCAGCTATATGTTTATATATACACTGAAAACAGCTTAGAAGGCTACATATCAAAATGTTAGCAGCATAACATCTGGGGTAAAATGATGGGATGCTGCTATTCGAATATTGTTAGAATGAACAGGAGTTACTTTAACAATCACAAAAACTGATGAAAACATTCACATTTTAAAAAAGCTATCTTAATTACTTACAGGGGCTTCTAAAAATGCAAATACCATATTACAGTATAGTTTAAGAGAAAATGGATACGATGCTATGCATTGCTGCTGATAATTGTAAATAAGTACCAGGATCTCAATAAAAATTTTAAAAGAAAAAGCAACCTACTCCTTAAGACTAAGTGCCCCGAATGCAATATGATGCACGGCTGTAGACCCAAAGAAAGGGCAGTTAATGGGGAAACGGAATAGCGCCTGGAGCTTACTTAATAATAATGCATTGATGCTAATTTCTTAGTTTTAACAAATGTATCTAGGCAATGAAAAGATGTTCCTTTAGGGGAAATTGGATGAAGAGTACATGGGAACGCCTTACACTACCTTATCAAGTTGTCTGTAAACCATGCCCCCTGCCCAAAAGTCTTTTTTTTAACTACTAGTACTGGATCCCAGTGCATATACATTTGCACTGAATTTCCACGTATTTTTCCATGTATTTTTCCAGCCTATAATTTCTATGTATTTCTAAATACCTTCTGAATCACAGCTATTAAATTATCAAGTGTTACCCCATCAGACTAACATCAGAAGTTGGTTTCCTTTAGAATTATTAAAAAATCTGGAAAATGGAGAAAGTTAAGTTTTAAAATCCTGATCTTTATTAAGTTACACTCAGTGCCACTGAGTCAATCCCGACGCATACTAAGCCAGTATGACTTACAGTTCCGACTCACGGGAACCCTATAGGACAGAGTAGGAGTGCCCATGTAGGTTTCTGAGGCGGTAAATCTTTATGGGAGCAGAAAACGTCACTTTCCCCTCCTACGTGGCTGTTGAGTTTGAACTGCTGAACCTTGTGGTTAGTAGCCCAACTTGTAACCCCCTATGCTACAGCCTCATCTTTCTACTGCAAAGCAGCACTGGGTTGGAACTGCCAACCTTGCAGTCAGCAGGCCAGTGTTTAACCCACTCACCCACCAGGGCTCCATTGTCCTTTTAAATATCAGGCTTGCATTATATTATGGTTTAACTCACCAGGCGGTAAGGAGTTCCGATCAGCACAGAACACTACTAAGTCTTGTTCCCCTTCTCTGAACTCAACACGGAGGACGTCACTAAGAGCTCCAACAAGTTCTGTCACATTTAAGAAGCCTAATTTTTTTGGTGAAAGCTGCTCTTTAAAAATTTCCTGTCACAAAAATAGATGTCACATTAAAAAACAATGTTAAATAAAAGAAATATACATTTGCCCTTAGACAATACTCTAATTGAGATTTAGCAAAACTAAAAATGTACAGGTCAGTAAACCCAAGTATTATAGTAAAGGCTTTCTTCCCTACATATACAAGGGGGAAGTAAACAAGCAGTTAATAAGAGAAATCTTTATTAAACAAAAATACCAAAGTGTGAAGCTAACGATTCTCACATCCATCTTCCATCTAGGTCAAGGGCAGAGAATGTCTGGTAGCCTAGTGTTGTTGATTTGTAATTTAATTCCACCTTAATTGGAGATCATATTCTGTAAGAGTTCACTATTTTGAAAGTTATCATGACTCATTTGGTGCTGAATATATGATCTACCTTGATGAATGTTCCCCATGAGCTCTAATATAAGGTGTGCTCTGCTGTTGTTAGATGACGCGGCTCTACTGCTCAGTGGCATCAAGTCAGTTCCGAATCATAAGAGAAGGAAGTACTGCCCAGTCCTGCAGCCCACTACTGTAGCTTCTGTGTCAATCCAACTTGTTGAGGGTCTGTCTTCCTTTTTTATTGACCCCTACAAAGCATGAGCCCTTTTCCAGAGAATGGTCCCTCTTGACAACATGTCCAAAGTCCATGAAACCAAGTTTTCACCATCCTCATGTCTAAGAAACATTCTATACTTAGTCCAAATCTAAGGTGACCAGACCGTCCTGCTTTTGGTGGGACAGTCCTGATTTCTAACAACTTGTCCCGTGGCGTTTTAAAAAAGTCCCAATTTTTGGAAAGAATGCACAAGCTAGGACATACGGTTTTCGGCAGCCATGTGGCTATTTTGCGAAGATATGAGTTTTATCAAGGTTAAAATCTGGTCACCTTATCCAAATCAGACTTGGTTGTTCTTCAGGCAATCTATATGTTCTTTCTAACACCATAATTCAAATACATCAAATCTTCTACAGTCTCACAGTCACTGTCCGATTTGTATAAGAGATGACCAACTGAGGTGGGTCAGGCACCCCTCAGTCTTCAAAGCGGCACCCTTGCTCAACACTTTAAAGAAGTCTTGTGCAGCAGACGTACCCAATGTGATACGCATTTGATTTTTTTTTTGAGTGCTGCTCCCATGAGCCCTGACTGAAGATCCAAGTAAAATGAAATGCCCGAGAACGTTAATCTTTTCCCCATTTATCATGCTGGTGTCTATGGGTCCAGCAGTCAGGTTTTCTTTACATTGAATTGTCATCCATACTGAAGGCTGCAGTCTTTGATTTTCATCAAGTGCTGCAAGCCTTCCTCTTTAAGCGAGCAAGGTTATGACATCTGCCTAACACAGACTCTTAGTAAGCCTCCCTCCAATCCTGCTTCATATAGTCTAGTCCTCAGATTAACTGTTGGCTACAATGTTCTGTGTCAAGTACATCGAGACAGTGGAGTGTTTTGTTTAGGTTTTCAAGTCCTTCTTCACTGTTTGACTAATCATCCTATCAGTTATTGAAAAGGAGATGCTGTATTATCTAATTCCATATTTATTTATCTCACTTTTATATAATTTATTTCAAAGCTTTATTAGATAAGTTCACATTTGTGACTGTTACATCTTTTTTAGGAATTGACCCTTATCACTATAAAATATTCCCTTGGTTTTGAAGTCTGCTTTAGCTGAGATTATTAGCATATTTCTTGTGGACAGCATGCACTTGCTTCTTCCTGATAACTTCTCTTGTAACTGAAGTATTTAGTCCATAGCATAAATGTACTTATTGATATCCCAGTGTTGTTGATTTATAATTTAATTAGACTTACAACTACCATTTTGCTTTTTGATAGTCTCTGTATATTGTTCTTTTATTTTTTCCTTTCCTATTTGTCTTTGGTTTACTGAATATTTTTTATAATTCTATTTTCTATTATGTTAACACTTTACAATTTTAGTTCTTTTAGATATTAACTACATATATCCCTAACTTGTCAGTCTTCACCAATTCACACAAAATATTTTTTAAAACCACTTGCAATCCAATAGCTTAAGTCTTATTGTGCTTTTCATATGCATTCCATAGATGTTATAAACCCAATTTGTTAGAATTTAAAGTGATATTTTCATTGATGACAGAAAGAGAAGTCTTTTATTATTTGCTTATATATTTAACACTTCACACTCTTCAGTCCTTTCTGAAGATTCAAGTTTCCATCTGGTATAATTTCTTTGGCCTAAGAATATTCTTTAGTGTTTTCTACAATGCAGGTCAGCTTACAATTACATCTCTATTTTTTATGATCATGTATTTATTTTGCCTTAACTCTTAAAAGATGCTATCACTGGATTAGAAAACTGAGTGAACTGTTCTTTGAGTAAAGATATTATCCAACTGTCTTCTGGCTTTTTCCCCTGATGAAAAACCAGCCATCATTTGTGTGACTGTTTCCTGGTGTGTAACGTGTCCTTTTCCTTCGGCTGTTTCATTGATTTTCTAATTATCCTTGGTCTTCAACAGGTCTGATGATAGCATGCCTCTGTATGCTTGTCTTCATACACTCTTCATACACATTCTGTTTGGAGTTTTCTGAGATTCTTAAATCTGTAAACCTATTCCTTTCAAAATACTTGAGAAATTTGCAGCCATTCCTTCAAATTATCGCCCCCCCCCCAATTTTCATTCTCCCTTCTTTTTCTTAGACTGTTTTAGGTGGGATTGACTCGAGAAACAAGTCCAGTTAACGCTCACATATGTATAAGAAAGAGCTTTTTCTCAAGAAGTAATTATATATCAAGGAAGCATCCCGCTCAGTCCAACTTGAGTCCTTAAGTCCGATACTGGTCCACAAGGCCCTCTTCAGATTTACGCAGCCACATGCGATGACACAGAATGCAGGAAGAGCACCGGCTGGTGGTGCAGAGTTGTGTGAATCCAGGGTCAATATGGCAAGGCTCTGGCAACGCTCAGCGTCAGTGATCCCAATCCCAGCATGCAGTAAGGCAAAGGGAGAGAGAGAGAGAGAAGGTGGTTCCCAGGGTCCTCCTTATGAGGAGGCCACCCCCCACCTTCAAATTGACATTAGATCATTCTAACTACCACAAACTCCAATTAGGCATATAGTACATCACTTGACACTATCTCTCACACAGTTTTCTTGGGCTCTATAATTTTTGTTCTTTCTGTTCTTGAGATTATATTTCTATTGACCTGTCTCTAAGTTCACTCATACTTTTTCTACCATCTCCAATCTACTGTAGACCTCACAATGATTTTTCAAATTTCCGATAATTTAAGTTCCAGAACATTCTTTGGGTTTTTGGGGTCTCTCCTCCACATCCCTACAACCCCACCCTTTGCCATCTACTGAGGTTTAAATTAAGAGTTCTGGTTGGATTGTTGGGTAAGTGCTGGACTATTAGCCACAAGACTGGCAGCTCAAACCGATCAGTTGCTTTTCAAGAGAAAGGTGAGGCTGTTTACCTCCACAAAGATTTACAGCTTCAGAAGCCCTATATACTGTCGCTAGGAGTCAGAATCAACTCACTATTAGTACGCTTTGTTTTGTTTTACTGGGCACCTAATCTGTTCATTCATGATTCACATTTTCTACTCTATATCCATCAGCATAGGTATAAGTTCTTCCAGGGCTTCATCAGCTTGTTGAAACATTTTGACTGTTATCTGTCAATTCCTGGAGCCTTTTTTGTTGTTGTTGTTAATGCCTTCAGTGAAGCTAGGACTTCTTCCTACAACACAATTGGTTCTCATCGCTTATCAGCCTTTTGGCAAAGAGCACGTATAGTATCAACACAATTAAGTCTTGAGCATATGCTACTTCTTGAAATAACTAAATGTCAGATTTCTTTTTGGTACAGTGACTCTATGTATTCCTTTCATCTTATTTTGATGCTTCCTGCAGCATTCAATATTTTGCCATAGAATCTTTCAATACTGCAACTCGGGATGTGACTTTTTCCTTCAGTTCTTTCAGTTTGAGATATGCTAAACATGTCCTCCCTTTTTGACTTTCTATTTCCAGACCTTTGCACATTTCACATTTGCCTTCTGGAGCTGCCTTTTGAAAATTTCTGTTGCATTCTTTACTTCTCAATTTCTTCCCATCTGGGCAATGTTTCATTCTGTTGTGTATAAGGCCACTATGGCTTGGAATTGTCTGGAGGGCACATAACAAAAAGAACACAGTTCTAAGAGGAATTTTTAACATTTTTCTAACATTCATGGTGTTTTCTTTTCACCAATGATCACATTCTTTGTAAATCTAGTAATCTGGGGGCTTACACTTTTTTTCCCTAGACACCATAGCAGATAGTCAAAAATTATTTGAAGACAATTATTCCTGCCTCCTCCTTTAGCAAAGGATTAATTTGGAATAACTTAAATTCAAAATCTGTCGTCTTTATAGTAAGCAGCAACTGAAATCCCTTCAGTTCTTTTAAACTTGGTGTAGAATTTGCCCCAATTATGTGTAGTTCATGTGTAAGTTTTGGCAAAGTAATGTTCAAAATTTTGTGTAACTTTCTCTATTCCAAGATTTGTCCTCTCAATTTTTAGCCCCAAACTCTGTCCTCTGGTTCTTTGGGTTAGTAAAGCTATTGATTTCTATCCAAGTTCCAAATGTCCAGCACTGGATGGGGCTTTACTGTGCCTACTCAGTTAAGTAATCTCTCCTCCACTTCTTTATTCCCCCTCTCTAGTTTCTGCCTGTTTGGGGTCCACACTTCCAGTAAAAATATATATATATATATAGCCTACTAAATAATAGCATCTTAATAGGATTACGTAGGATTTAGAGTCTCATTAGACTTGAAATACCAGAGTCTTTTTACCCTTGGATCCACATAGCATCATCCTCATTTCTTTTTGATTCATAAAATGTGCCACTTCTATTTCTCTTGAAACGTATTTTTTGTTTGTTTTGCTTTGCTATGGTCCTTGGTAATTTAGTCTTCATTTCTAAATGTTTTCCTTTTTTATTAATTCTAATTTC